AATCTCCCTTTGACAGACAACAGGAAGGTGTGCTGAGTTCTGCCATGGCACATCCATGCCAAGGGACTGGTTTGTTGAGTTTTATAACCATAAAACAAGTTGCATGAGAAACTGATGCTTTATTAGTAAAATGCCTTGCCTATGGGTTTTTCAGTAGCTCTGCGTCTGGCATTACCTCTATGTGCATTCCCAGATGCAGTCTGTGGCGTGCTGTGCATCTCACTATTTATTGCATGTGGTGGTTAAACATGGTGCTAACTTGGTTCGGGCATACAAATAGGAAAATACAAACAGAATAGGTTGTAAGAGGTTGAAGTTACACTTCGTTTTCCTCATAAAGAATTTTGTCTTTAAAGGAATTTACTAGGATCTTGTTGATGGAATGGGGGAGGCAGCTAATGCTGTTGTAGTGATATTGTAACGGTATGTGGCAGTGACCTTGGGAAACAGGAGGAAGAGCTACAGATCAAACAACTGGCATGTGAAAGTATATGCTGGCAATCCTTAATATGAAGTTGGTCACTCATCAGTTATCGGAATAGCATAGTTTATTTGAAGCAATAAAAAGAAAAGGCTTTGAATGACCCAAATGAAAAGGAAACATTTATGATAGGTCTTAGAACAGAAAAATACCTGAGGGTAGCGCTATTACTAAAAGCATAATCGAGCAGTTTAACCATTGGTGTGAATCCGGTGCCTCCTGCCAATAAAAACAAATCTTCTACATCTTCCAGTTGTGATGTTTTAAAAATGCCTTGAGGATTACTCAAGGAAATATAGTCTCCTGTTAAAAAATGCAATCGGAGAAATATAGCACAATAAATGTTAAAGGATTACAAAATCATGATAATTCTGTTCCCTGCGATAGATGCAAGTTAGCATCCTCACAGGTGTTCTAGAGAAAATAATGGAACAAATGAATGAAATTAGGCAATTTGCAATCTACACAAAAATATTCTTTTTTTTTTTAACTGCAGAATATATTTTGAAAATATTTTTAAAATGAAAAAGAACAAAATAATAGATTTTCAAGATGCTCTGAGAAAGGAAGAAAAATGTGTGCCTTACCTATTTGTAAAGTGTCAAGCACCGGTGTAAAAAGTCCTCCAGGATAAATTTTAATCATAAAAAATATTTGTGCTTTATCATTGGAAGAGGAGATTTTGAATGGTGATACCAAGCAAGACAATATTGGTGTGTAAGGCTTGACTATCTCTGTACCTAAAGAAAGACCGTGCAAAAGAACAACCCATAATAATAAGCATTAAATATTACAAACAGCTTTGGGGCAAGAAGGTATAAATATTAAGAACAAACATATTAATATCTGGGGAATAAAAAAAAACCATATACTAAGTATGGCACTTGTGAACAATTTATTTCTAAATAAGCCAAACATCCTGCATGATCCTGCTATAAACTATCTTTTAAATGTTATATTATTTTGCTTCATTAGAATATTTCTTCTATTACTTTTACTGTCAACCTGTTTTGTATATCATTGGTCTCTACTCTTCCTATCCAATCCATGTTATTACTTTTGGCCAAGGAGTGTCAGTGTGGGACCCCATAGGAGACCCGTTTCATGGGTATAGGGATGCAAGTCTTGGCGTATTCGAGTCAGTATAAATATAGGTGGGGTGTGTGTGGAATGTTGGCTTTGTTGCTTTAAACGGATTGGTTGGCTGTATTGTCACATCTTGATTGGTT